CAATGGTCTAGCTGGAACGCTCTGGATAAGGACTTTATCGAATGATTCGCCTACAATGTAGATATCGTTCCTGATCATTATTCCTTAGAAAAGATGAAGCAGAAATCAAATGAAAGTTACAGAGAATTTGCATACAGATAGAGAAAAGAGGCAGCTAGAGTTCTGCCTCCTATGTTTGAGAAAGAAATTGTCGAAGTATTTGTGCGGGTTCAAGAGCCTGAGTATTATGATAGAATCATGTTGTTCGTTGGAGCAAAGTTTTCCGAGATATTCAAAGTAGGTGAGGCTATCGAAGATGGATTAAGAACCGGGAAGATTTCCCATGTTGCCGCCTCCCCCGGATCCTCGGGTTTGTTGAAGAAGAAAAGAGAAGACGTGTCTTCTATCTCTTATGAGGGGGAGAATACCCCAAGGAAATCCTCATCGTACCAAGGTCGTTCTCGACCTTCACAGAGTTCATACCTGGCTTGTTAGGCACAGGTTGATTACCAAAATACCCCTCCCTTTTTCTACCAAACTCCCCCTTCAGTTTACCAAACACCATTATCTCATTACCGAAATGTAGCCCCCAACTATGCGAATGTCCAAACAAACTATCAAACTCCTCCTCCAGTATATCAAACCCCACCCCCATACTACCAAAATATCCCTCAAAATTCCAAAGATCCACATCCAAATTACCAAACCAATTCCTATCCAAGATATCAAGCCCCCCGCCACAATGCTCCAGATTATCGTCAAATCCCTCCCTCTCAACAAGGCAATTACGATCCTCGTCCAAGGTTTGAGAAGAATCCCGCTAGGAATTTCACTCCGTTCATTAAAAGTTGAACAAAGTTATTCGAGCGAATGACCGCGACAAGTTTTATGTATCCAGTGGAGCCCAAGCCTGTTGACACTAGCTCAAGGTTTTACAGACCTGATCAGAGGTGCGCATATCACTCCAACGATTTTGGACATGATACCAAAGATTGTATCAACCTAAAGCACAAAATCCAAGACCTGATCGACCAGAAAGTGGTCTCTCTCCGGACAGTCGCACCCAATGTCAATAGTAATCCTTTGTCAAATCATAAAGGCGTCACTATCAATATGATAGAGACGGATGATGATTGGTGCGTAACAAAGGCAATAGTTCTGATCGCTCCTGATGAACTGGAAAGTGTTGTAGCTTCATTGTGCATTAGAGAGAAGAAAGAGTTTGTGATTCTGACACCTGAGAAGGTTGTTTCCTTGGTGCCAAGAAAAACACCCGCCCGACCAAGGTTTGTGATTGAAACGGCTGCTACCCAAGGTATGACTAAATCCAACAGATGTTACACACCAGAAGAGTTAGCTCAGGGAGAACAGAAGAATGATCAGTCTAAAAGGCCAATTAGTGAAGCTGAAGCAGAAGAGTTCTGGAGAAAGATGCAACCAAAAGATTACTTGATCGTGAAGCATCTAGAGAAAACACCAGCTCAGATTTCGGTGTGAGCCTTGCTGATGAGTTCACAACTGCATAGGCAAGCTTTAATGAAGGCTTTGGATGATACATATGTGCCCGTGGGTACTAACAGTGATAATCTGGCGGCCATGATAAACCAAGTCGTTCGAGGACACCGCATCAGTTTCCGTGATGAAGAGCTGCCCTTTGAAGGTAGGATGCACAACAAAGTTCTACACGTCACCATTATGTGTGGAGACAAGGTTATAAATCGTTTTTTAGTCGATGACGGATCTGGCCTCAACATTTTCCCGATTTCGACTCTCAAGCAGCTAAACTACGACTTGGGAAAGGTTCACCGGAACCAAGTCAATGTGAGGGATTTCGATGGAGTGCAAAGAGATACGTTGGGTGCAGTAAACTTGGATATTCAGATGGGTCCTTCAGCATTTAATGTGGAGTTTCAAGTGTTGGATATCAATACTAGTTACAATTTGCTTCTGGGAAGACCATTTATCCACATGGTCGGGGCTGTGCCTTCTACTCTTCATGAACTGATGAAATTTGTTTGGAAGGACCAGGAATCAGTCATTCATGGTGAAGGGAGCCATTACAATGGATATGTGCCGATTGTTGATGATGTCTCCCGAGGTTGTGATTTCTACAGAGTGGAGCTGGTAAATGTCACCGGTGATGATTTGACTCCTCAGCCCCCTATGCCTTCGGTGTATAAGATGATAGCTATTGTTATGCTCCAGAGTGGTTTCAAACTAGGTTTCAGATTGGGGTAACATTTTCAAGGAACTGTCGAGCCTATTCAAATTCCCGCCAGATGAACAAAGTTTGGTTTGGGGTATGTCTCCACAGATGATGATGAAGCAGAGGTGGTGAATAAAAGTGTTGATCAAGCATTGGCTAGGCCAATTCCTCATTTGTACCAGTTATTCCTAGCGTGAGAATATGTCAATGACGGTGGTCTCGGGGAAGGAATCTGGGGCCTTTTGAGGAGATTGATGCGGTCATCGAGGAAGAGTCTGGGACATCAGGAATTCGTGATTATGAGCCAGAGGAGCATTTGCAGAATTGGACCTCCACACCGCTCCTGATTCCCCGTGCAGCTTGGTAGGAAAGACATGTGTTTTTGTTTGTTTTGAAAATTTGGTGGTAGTCCGGAAGAGGCCTGGGACCCACCTTTATGTAGACTTTACTTGTTTTAATTCTTTGAATTCCCTCGTGATGTTTCAAAAAGGCTATATGACCCTTGGCCATGGCCAAAGTTTGTTCCCATTTTTTCAACGTAAATGAAGAGCCTCCCTTATCGAAATCTTTTTTATTTTCTTATTTGTTTACATTTACTTTCCTAACTTTGTCTATTTATGATTTTAGTAATAATAATTTAAAACCTGCCAATGTCATGTCATGTCACGATTTGAACGAGCAAAATGAAGCAGGTGATGATGAATGCGAGGAATATGAAGAAGAAAATGAGGTACCCGAACATGTTGCTGAAAAGTTCCAACAATTTAAGAATCAACACAACCCAAATTTGGAAGAAACTGAGACTGTGAATCTAGGGGATGAGGATTATGTTAAAGAAGTAAGAATCAGCGTCCATCTGACTGAAGCTCAAAGAAAGGACCTGGTTCGTTTGCTTAGAGAATACATCGACGTATTTGCCTGGTCTTACAGAGATATGTCAAGTTTAAGTACGAACATGGTTTCTCATAAATTACCGATTAATCCAAATTTCAGTCTGATAAAGCAGAAAACCCGTAAATTCAAGCCAGAGCTAAGTTTGAAGATCAAAGAAGAGATTACCAAGCAGATTGAGTCTAGAGTGGTGGAAGTTACACAATATCCGACTTGGTTAGCCAATATTGTTCCAGTGGTCAAGAAAGATGGAAAGATCAGAATTTGTGTCGACTACAGAGATCTCAACAAAGCTATCCCCAAGGATAACTTTCCATTGCCAAACATTCACATTCTCATTGATAACTGTGCGAAACATGAGATGCAGTCATTTGTAGATTGTTATGCAGGTTATCACCAGATCCTGATGGATGAAGAAGATGTGGAAAAGACAGCCTTCATTACGCCTTGGGGTGTATATCATTATCGGGTGATGCCTTTTGGTCTCAAAAATGCCGATGCTACTTATATGAGGGCTATGACAACCATCTTTCATGAGATAATTCACAAAGAGATTGAGGTGTATGTATATGATGTCATAATCAAATCCCGCGAGAGTTCGGATGACTTGACTCACATGAGGAAATTCTTTGATAGCCTGTGTCGTTACAAGTTGAAGCTAAATCCCGCCAAATGTGCTTTTGGAGTGCCAGCTGGCAAGTTATTGGGATTTATAGTCAGTAGAAGGGGCATTGAGCTTGACCCTTCCAAGATCAAAGCGATTCAAGAGTTACCTCCTCCGTAGACCAAGAAAGAGGTGATGAGTTTCCTGGGAAGGTTGAACTACATCAACCGGTTCATAGTCCAATCTATCGTGGTGTGTGAGCCCATATTTAAGTTGTTGAAAAAAGATGTCTTGACCAAGTGGATCACAGAATGTCAAACTGCTTTTGTTGCCATCAAGAATTATTTGTCCAATCCGCTGGTGTTGGTCCCTCCACGAGAAGGAAGTCCATTGTTGCTATATTTGTCCATCTCAGATAACACATTTGGATGTGTGCTCGGTCAACATGACAAAACTGGGAAGAAGGAGTGAGCCATCTACTACTTTAGCAAGAAATTCACTCCATATGAGGCCCGTTACACTCTTTTGGAGAGGAAATGTTGTGCTTTGACCTGGATTGCTCAGAAGTTGAGACATTATTTGTCTTCGTATACCACATATCTTATCTCCAAAATGGACCCATTGAAGTATATTTTTCAAAAAGCAATGCCAACCGAGAAGTTGGCAAAATGGCAAATGCTTTTGAGTGAGTTTGATATTGTGTATGCGACCCAAAAAGCGATAAAAGCACAAGCGTTGGCTGACCATCCTGCAGAGAATACAGTTGATGAAGAGTATGAACCACTCAAGACTTATTTTCCCAATAAAGAAGTTGCATTTGTGGGTGAAGATATTTCTGAAGCATACCCTGGCTGGAAAGTATTCTTTGATGGAGCAGCAAATCACCAAGGGAAAGGTATTGGAGCAGTCTTAGTATCAGAATCTGGTCATCACTATCCTACGGCAGTTAAACTCCAATTTGATTGCATAAATAACATGGCTGAATATGAAGATTGTATCCTTGGTTTGAAGATGGCCATCGACATGAACGTTCATGAGTTGCTGGTTATTGGAGATTATGATTTGTTGATTCATCAAGTTCAAGGAGAATGGGCCGTGAAGAACCCAAAGATCACACCGTTTGTGCAGTATCTACAGAAGTTGTGCAAGAGATTTCGCAAGATAAAATTCAGGCACACTCCCAGGACACAGAATGAGTTGGCCAATGCTCTTGCCACCATCGTATCAATGATTAAACATCCAGATACAAGTTATATTGATCCTTTGGATATAGAGGTAAAAAGCAGCCTGTTCATTATTCACATGTTGAAGTAGAGCCAGATGGTTTTGCCTTGGTATTTTGACATAAAGAAGTATTTGGAGACCGGGACTTATCCTGAGAATGCAACGTTCAACCAAAAGAAATCAATACGTCGTATGGCTAACAATTTCTTTACAAGTGGGGAAATCCTTTATAGAAGGACTCCAGATTTAGGTCTTCTCAGATGTATTGATGTTATTGAGGCTGCGAAGCTTCTTGAACAGATACATGCTGGAGTTTGTGGTACTCACATTAATGGACTCACTTTGGCTAGAATGATCCTCCGAGCGGGTTAGATTTGGATGACTATGGAGCATGATTGTTGCAAGCTTGTGCAGAAATGTCATAAATGTCAAGTGCATGGTAATTTGATTCGAGTACCACCTCATGAACTCAATGCTATGAGTTCACCTTGGCCATTTGTAGTTTGGGAAATGGATGTCATTGGTCCAATAGAGCCAGCCGCCTCTAACGGGACACTAGATTCATTTTGGTTGCCATTGACTACTTTACCAAGTGGGTAGAAGCAACTTCCTATAAGTCGGTGACCAAGAAAGTTGTAGCTGATTTCGTCTGTAACAATTTGATATGTAGATTTGGAGTACCAGAATCCATCATTATTGATAATAGAGAGAATCTCAACAGTCATTTGATGAGAGAGATATGTGAACAATTCAAGATTACTCATCGAAACTCAACCGCTTATCTTCCCCAAATGAATGGAGTTGTAGAAGCCACCAACAAAAACATAAAGAAGATTTTAAGGAAAATGATTGACAATCACAGAGGTTGGCATGAGATGTTGCCATATGCTTTGTTGGGATACAAAACGACAGTCAGAACGTCAATTGGAGCTACTACATACTTGTTGGTATATGGAAAAGAAGAAGTTATACCTGCCGAAGTTGAGATACCTTCATTGAGAACAATCCAAGAAGCTGAATTGAGTAATGCTAATTGGGTTTGCAAGCGAATTGATCAATTAACATTGATTGATGAGAAGGGAATGGTTGATGTTTTTCATGGCCAATTGTATCAACAGAGAATGATTCGTGCTTTCAACAAAAAAGTGAGATCTCAAACATTTGAAGAAGGACAATTGGTCCTCAAACGCATCTTCCACCATCAAGATGAGTATAAGGGAAAATTTGCACCAAATTGGCAAGGACCATACATAGTTCGTAAAGTGTTATCTGGAGGTGCCTTGATCCTGTCAGAGATGGATGGCTAGGAGTGGCCAAAACCAATCAACTCAGATGCTGTCAAGAGATACTACGTCTGAAAATTAGTTTTTCTCTCATCACTTTCCTTGTAATCGTATCATTTGCTTATAATTGCTTATGTCAAGTTTTTATATCCTAGTAATGAACTACGTCTAACCTGAATTCTCAAGAATGAGATACGTAGGTGGCCTATATCGGCATTGATCACCCTTTTTACCCCTTTTATTGTTTTCTTTTGTACTTGAACTACGTTCGACCTGATTTCTCAAAGATGAGATACGTAGGTAGCCTATGTCGACCTCGGTCGATTCCTTAGTTAAATTTCTTAGTTTTGTTAATCCCGAGAGGGGAACTATGTTTGACATGATTCCTACTTCAACGAGATACGTAGGCGCCACAACGGCTCAATCATATCTCCCGTAAGGTTTCTAATTTTCCCTTTATAATAGAAACTGGGATAGAATTTTTGAGAGGAACTCAAAAATTGTCAAGAAGAAGATCTCTCCAACCAGTCAAAACTAAAGCGACGTTGAGAATTATAACTAGGACAAAAAATTTTTAGAAGATCTCAAAAAATTTGTGATTTGCTCACCAATAGTGCGAGATACTCCAAGACATTTCACTGGGACAAAAACTTTTTAGGATGACCTCAAAAATTTCAATAAGGTTCATCAACAGTTTAGAAGAGATTTGAATACTTCCCAGCAAGTTATCACAGAGACCCCGAGGCATCAACTTCAAAGACATTCACTAAATTTGATGTGACATGACACGACACTTGGCAGTGACCTTTTCCAAATATTACTTTTTGAAAATCTATTTTCCTTAAAACTTTTCTTTCATGTTTCAATTATTTTTGCATACAATGTCTTGTCTTATATACCAAAAAGCGGAAGATCGGAGAAATCAACCATAGATAGCCAGACAAGGAGTAGACAACCGAAGGAATCGGCAAAGATCAGTTCACTTTAAACTAACAATTTTTCTGTGGATGCAGGTCTATAAGTTTGCCGCAGGATCATCATATTCCTCCATTCAACGAACATGGAAAAGTCAAAAAGGCGAGGAGCTCCTCGAAATTGACAATTTTTCTGTGGATGCAGGAAAAATTCTATGTTTCTTATACCAAAGAATCGGGGATATGAGTAACATTATTTCATTCGAATTCTCAACAAGGCAAGGTCCATAATGAACACACGATTATGTTCGGGGATGGAGCAAACAAAAGCCTCGAAGAGAGAAATTATATTGTTTTCCAACAACTAAAAATACTCGGAGGAAGTAATCTGCATCATATTTTTAGATATGATAATATTCCTACCCAGAGAGTCATCTATATCGTATTGTCAAATGAGATTATACCACTACTTCGAAGGTCATTTTTATTATATTGTCAAAAGGATAATACCGCAACCATAAGATACCTAGAAGATCACCTGCATTGTTCAGTGAACCATTATCTTCGTTCGATATCGCGAGACATCATAGTAAGAGGAAGAATTCATGCATAGCAAGAGGAAGACTCATGCATCGCTAGAAAAGATTCATGCATCGCTGGAGAAGATTCATGCATCGCTGGAAAAAATTCATGCATCACTGGAAAAGATTCATGCATCGCGGGAAAAGAATCATGCATTGCGGGGAAAAGATTCATGCATTACGGGAGAAGTCATGCATTGCTATAAAAGATTTATGCATTGCGGGGAAAAGATTCATGCATCGCGGGAGAAGTCATGTATCGCTAGAAAAGATTCATGCATTGCCGGAGAAGATTCATGCATCACAGGAAAACCACGCATCGCTGGAAAAAATTCATGCATCGTTGGAAAAAATTCATGCATCACTGGAAAAGATTCATGCATCGCAGAAAAAGAGTCATGCATTGCGGGGAAAAGATTCATACATCGCGGGAGAAGTCATGCATCGCTAGAAAAGATTCATGCATCGCTGAAGAAGATTCATGCATCGCAGGAAAGCCATGCATCACTGGAAAATATTCATGCATCGCTGGAAAAGATTCATGCATCGCGAATAAAAAAATCATGCATCACGGGAAAGAAGTCATGCATTATGGAAAAAGGCACCATCAGCTAAGGTTTTTTAGGAAACATCACATGTATTTCTCAAAGAAGCGTTATCTTCATGCATCGCGGAAAAAGTCATGCATTGCAAAAAAAATAAAAAGAGAAAAAAAATCATGCATCACGGGAAAGAAGTCATGTATTGCTGAAAAAATCACCATCAGCTACAGTTTTTGAGGAAACATCACCTGTATTTGTCAAAGAAGCATTATCTTCATGCATCGCGGGAGAAATCATGCATCGCAAGAAAATCAACATCAACTGCATCATTTTTCATTTGCAAGAACATCATCAAGAGAAGCATCAATAACGACATCAAGAGAACTATCAACATATTACATACACCTATTTTATTACTTCAACATCAAAGGAAGAATACATTGAAGATTATATTGCAAACATGAAATACAAGCTTATTTGCTCTACGCCAAATTGGGGGAAACTGATGTCAAATGTTCAAGGAGAATAATTAGGTGTCAACACGGTAAAAGACCATATCTCCCCATTTGAATTGCATTTTTTATGCTAATGAATTTTATCTCAGTCTTTGTCGAGAGCATCCGAGAGGATGAATTCTCAAAAACAAACCACAGGTGCGGACGACATAAAAAAAGATGCAGCACGACGTGGAACTTGTCTTAGCAGCGAACTGAGACATAATTCGAAGAAGAGTATCAAACTCTTAGGACGCGAGCAGAGGAGTGACTTCCACCACAATCAAACCACACACCTATCGAAAGGCATGTGGGTTTTTCTTTAGGTTTATCAATTTTGGTTTCGCATCCGGAAAATTTTGATTTTCACCGGGAGCAACTTTCCAATTCAAGTGACAATGCACCAAGAGTTTTGGAAATTATGTATGTGTAAGTTCTTAATTATGAGTGTGAAGTGCACCACATTCATAGCTAAGATGTGGTAAGCCTCTTTTTCATACTCGATTGATTTGTCACTCTTCCAGAACCGAAGGTGATCTAGCATAATAGATTTTCTTTTCAACCGATCGAGTCGAACTACAAGCAACCTGATTCCCTAAGTTGAGGGATATGTAGGCAGGATCAATGTTGAAAACTCGGCTGTGATCCAACAGTATCTCTTAAAATCTTATTCCCAAGCATTCTTGTCTCTTCATAATTCGATATCAGGATAGCTTTTGAATTCTTTCAAAATGGTGCGTTAAATCAAGCGTATCGAACTACAAGTGGCCTGAATTCTCATATAACATGAGATATGTAGACAACCCGATTCCGGGGTTCGGCCATGATTCCTAAAGTTGATATACCGTGAGTTTACAGTATTTCTAATACATTTCACTTACAAGTTGTGTGTGTCTAGGGCCTTTTTATATTGGTTTTTTATGTGTTTTTATCATGTTTTGCAGGAAAGATGTTCAGGCGCGAAAGTATAGAGACAACTGAAAGAAATGCAGAAGAAGGGCATTCACGGAGGTAATCTACGGACCGTAGGTCCATTTACGATCCGTAGGTGATGACCGTAGATCAGCAAGCAAGGTATGGAGGACAAATCAGGGAAATCTGACCAAGTGTGGAACCACGGTATCCATTGACGGTCCGTTGGTTGATCTACGGACCGTACTGTTGATCCGTAGATTGATACTGCGAGGGTTCCAGTACTTGATTTTTGAAGATTCTAAATGTGGAGTTACGGAGGGGATCTACGGTCCGTCCTGCTAGTCCGTCGTTTGCTTTAGAGAAGCTGATTTTTTGGAGGCTAAAATATTTTCCAAGTCCTGGCTGACGGAAGGGACTTACGGACCGTAGATCCATCGACGGTCCGTAAGTCGGTCTCGTGGATTG